TCCCTGTTAGTGCAGGCTTTAAGAACAGGTTGGACAAACACCTGCCAGGGATGTTCTAGGTCCACTTGGTCCTGCCTCAGCACCTGGAGGTGGATTGTTCGAGCTCCTTAGGTCCCCTGCAACTCTCCATTTCTGTGATTCAGTGAAATGAGGCTGGGCCATCTGCACTGTGCTCGGTTTTCCCCATTGGGTCTCACTGCAAAGTAACGGAGTATGGGGCTGGAAGATAAGGGAGGCAGCAGGAGGGAGAGCAGGGCAGACTGGACAGTGTTTTGCTGTGTCGGCACTCTAGGTTGATATGATCTGAAACAAGGGCTTGAGTCACTTTCGCTTCCTGCCTAATTTCTCCAAAATAAGGAAGCTGCAAAGCTCAGAGCCCTCAGAGCTCAACTGCTCCTGAGAGTGTCGGAGCCACCATGGGACCCCGCGGGGACGTGCGTCCATTGGGTGAGTGGAACAAAGTCCATGGGCTGGACTCAGGGGTGGGGCCCGGAGAGCCCAGAGGGGTCCATGTGTCCATCTGCACGAGAGCAGGAAGGTGTGTGCTCCAGCGGGGGAAGACACAGCTGGGCTAGCGCTCGTCTAGCTGCGTGCTACACAGAGAAGTGTCCGAACAGAGGGGGAGGGGGCTAGCTGCCCTGAGTGCCTACCAGTGGCCTTGGACAGGGATGTGGTCGGGACAGGGAGCCTCCCCTGTTACTTGCCCAAACATGGCCACACTTCTCTTTCTCACACGCCAGCTGCTCAGAGCAAGCCCAGGTAAGTCTCCTAGAGCTCGAATTTACACCTACATTGGTGTGACAGACAATTTCCTCTGCTCCCTCCCCTGCTCAAGTTGCACTAATGGAGACTTCATCCAGGCTTGCTGAAACACCCTTAGATTTAACCATCAGATTCCTGGGGCTGGCTCAGAGGGACTCACCGTGAGACCAGAGCCTGGATGGGTCGAAGATGCTTCCAGCCACGTTCACAACCACTGAATCCCAGGGGATAACTGCAGATCAGTCTGGTGCCTGCAAGCAGCCTAAAGCCTTCTCTGATTCCTCCTGAAGCATCCCTGGTCCAAGGGACCATTCAGCAGCTGGCAATAGCCAGAGCATAGAAGTATCTCGGCCCTACCACTCATCTCTGGGAAGCTGCTGTGCCCAGGGTTGGCGTTGGGGGGGCGTAACATGGAGCCAGTGCACAAGAGGAATTTCAAGATAGTGGGGTAAGCCAGCTTGCGGGAGTGGCACAAAGCCGGGGTTCCTGCATTTACTATGGTATAAACAGTTATTAATGGAAGAACGGACTTCATTGAATTTACACTAGAATCACAATGGAGTCATCCAGCAAAATTTGGTCCCTGTACAAGGGCCAAGAGATGTCTCTGTCTCTGTCTCTGTCTCTGTGTTGCTCGTTTCTGTTTGGATACAATTTACAAACACATTTATTTTTCTCTCTCTCAAGTGTTTCTCATCGTGGTCCTTGTCCCCCCTCTGCCTCCAGGGAGCACTCAAGGCTCAATGGGTAAGTTCCCAGGCTGGGGGAACAGAATGCAAATCCGCAGGGGACGCGTTTGTTCCCATCACAGAAGCCCCACGCAGAATGTGTCTCTGCTGTTAAAGCTGATACAGGAAAGAGGGGGGACAGCTCTCGATGGTGTCTCGGCTCTATAGTGGAGCTGGGGTCCTTGGATCTGGGTCACTAGAAACAGCTGAATGTTTGCGGGGGGTTAAATCTATTTCTGACGTGGTCACTGCCGTATGCTGGGCTAAGGTCACATATTGCATGGTCAATGGGTATGATTCACATTAGATACATTAATATTGCTCGTATGCACTGAATGCCTATAACACTGTGTTGTGTGCACACTTCTAGCAGCTGCCTGGCCCGAACTGGCCTATGTGTTTCGATACATTTGTTCCCCTGTGCTAAGTATCCCATTCTCCTTTGAGCGATTGCTCACGCCCCTTCCATGTAGGTGTGTGCGTGCAGTGTGCACGTGTTGTCAGAAATGTTTCCCCTAGCAGCACCCGTCGGGCCTGCAGAGGAGCCCCCTGGAATGACACCGTTATACTATTCTGTTTAGAAAAAAAAAAGGAGGAGACCAAAGTTGTTGAGAAAAAAAGCGGGCGAGCTGGGGGTGCCTCGCTCTGAGGGAGGGGGGAGTGCATTAGGATGGGGGCACTGAGGGTGCTTGGATCTCCAGGAGGGGGATTGGCTGAGGGGAGCTGGGGCACTTGATTCTGGAGGGGGGGGGGAATTGGGATGGGGGGTGCTGAGGATGCCTGGCTCTGGGGAGGGGTGTTGTGTTGTACTTAAGAGTACTGCACAGGGTCTTTTCAGGGGGAAAAGGCAAAATGCCACATTTATTGGTAATACAAATAGCCGTCAGCTCTTACCGGAGGCCTGTGATACCGCACACGCGAGCACACACACATGTCTTGTTATTGCCAATAGTTGCTCCCCCCCA